ATTTTCGTTTTAAAAGTCGTTTGGAGTTAACTTTAAAACTTTATAATAAAAAAAAACATTTCGTTTAATATTCGGGTGGTCCGCCAAAGAATTCCCATGCATTAATTGTCCCGTAACCCAGAAATAGTTGTGAACGCTGGGCTACGTAATGGAATGGTCGAGGTTAATTGTCGCAGAGGAATACTGTTCCCCTCTCCCTGCTCCCAGACATGCTCCATGAGCTATGTAACGTCCTATGAATGTGTACCTGGAGCTGTGTCCCCTGAGGTAAAGTGGCCGGAGCGTGAATGCGCTTACTCACTTCCATCTAGTTGTGGGGCTGAAAATACCTCCACTCCACTATGTGTCTACACGGCATGGTGGTTACTTAAACACAGGGACAACTTTGCCTTTTACTTTAGGACGACTCCTAGAGTAGTGAGAAAGTAAACTATGGTCATGAGTCCCACGAGACTCGGAACCAAGAGTGACTGCGCTGACAAGGACTAGAAGAAATTTACCTGACCGACCTTTCATTTTCTCGTGTATATAATATTGTCACGTATGAGTGGTTTGCGTTATTAGTGATAACGGGATCTGGATGGGACTATTGGATTTATTGGCACTGCTATTACAATCACTCTTAGTTACAGTCACAATTAATCACTAAGGCTCTCGCCAGTTCTTGCTGAACTACGACTACCTTCTCTCCTGCGTGACTGACTTAGTTCTGAAGCACGACTCCGTCACTTCTTCAGCTTCCGTTGTCCGCTGGTTAGCACTCTACAGCCGAACACTGAACTGAATCTCTTAAACTGAACTAACTTCCAGGTTAACCGATTATTGATCACTATCTCCAACAGTTCATATAAAGGTAAAGTTATCCCTGTAACAGTCCCTGAAGGCCCGTAGGGTTGTGAGATGTTGAGGCTCCCACATTCTCCAGACAGTCGGCTCACAGATGGCGATAAGGCTGTCAGTCTAACGCGCCGGCAGCCCTTGACGTCCCAGAAGATTCCTGGTACTCATCTCTGTTAGAGGCTAGTCGACCCCAGGGCCACAGTGCGGCTGGAAGGATTAGGTACATTGAAAGAATCCACCTCATCGGGATTCGGACCCGCAACCTTCCGGCTTGTAGCATAGTGCCTCAACCAACTACGCTACCGCGTACCCCAATAGTTCATGTATTACTCTGTGTTATCTGTTGCCACGGGAATGCGTGTTTAACGAACCGTTGGCTAGCAATGGACTTTCGCTTCTGTTCCTTGCAGCGGGAACGTGTATTACCGGACTGCTGTCTTGCAATGGTCATATTCGTGTTATGATTATAAAAAAGATCTCTCGAAATTTTGACACACTTCCACGTTCTGAGTGCCCGTAAACTATCCAATTTTTTGTTGCTAGTGGGATGGGAGTAAGTCCCTTGTACTGCGGCCACTTCTGGCCTATTGTACCAGCCCCAGATGATAGGCGATGGTGATTGTGGAGCAACTGGTGGAATGAAGATTGGCAGGGGAAACCGAAGTACTCGGAGAAAACCTGCCCCAGCGCCACTTTGCCCACCACAAATCCCACTTAACAAGACCCGGGATCGAACCCAGGCCGCCGTGATGGGAAGCCAGGGACTAACTACTTGAGCTATGGCGCGGCCAAACTATCCATAGATATATCCTTTGTTAAAGAAACAAGAAGCCGAGAACAGTGTACAACGCACGCCCTCTGACGTCCAGTTTTCGGGATGCTTGTTGCTGTGAAATGGCGCAGTCTAGCAAATTATCTGACCACAGACGCCTCATAGTTACAGTAGATGTTCCACGCTCTCTCTGGCCAATTCAAAGCAAGATGGCGGTGCGCCACACGGTGTTCTCTCAAACACGCCTTCACATGTTGGCTTCGATCGTTGTTAACCTTTGCTTTAAACTGAGTATTACAATGAGATTTGGACAGTCCTGAGAGAGACTGCATAAACATGCTTCTTCAACTGTCCTCACAAGATATACAGATCGGAGTTAATCCGCCGACCGAGGAGGCCAGGCAAAAGGCCCTCAACGTCCAGTCCACCTTCCTCAATATGTTCCATTCAACGACAGCTGGAGAAAGCCACATCTTCAGGCAGCCTCGACAGAGCAGTTCCCAGGAAACCAGTCTGTCGGCAGGTCTGGGCCCATGACAGTATCCCCGACGATTCTAGTCCAAACTATAAAGCTGAAGAGACTTGAGACCCACGTCCGAGGGTAGCCTAGATGTGACTGTTGTGGACCCTGAAGACGCAATCGCGCATAATATATTTTGGCGTATCTGCTCAAAGAAATAACCAGAGAAACAGCCGTTACTAGGTAATGGTACGTACATAGGCAGCAGAGGAACGCGTTACGTACTCTGTGACGTCACGCAATAATAGAAGAGGTCGTTGCAAGCGGCGTTCTATGTGGATCCGCGCCGCGCTCGTTGCTACGCAACTGTGCGGTAAACACATCTTTGCAGCATAGACGAAGCTATGTTTTCTTTTGGGTTCGCTCCGAGGCTATTATGCCATACATGTGTTGGCGGGCAGTAAACTGCCCGCGAAGCCCAATGAACAGACATGTTACAGTTGCGACGTATGCATATGTGTCAGGAACTTGCCTCTGTCCCTCTGGACTGTTCATGAAGGATGATTTTTATGCCAGAGAATCGTAGTGAGATTTGAGGTTCTTACGACCGTGAAAATGATCATTAATTTAAAAGTCTGAGAAGAAGAAGACGCCTGCGTTTGACAAATTCCATCGTCTCGTTTTCTGTTAAAAATACGTTTTGGAAGCTGGTTCTGTTTCCGTCATCAGGTAGAAGCATGAAACATACTCCGTTGTGTCAACTGGATGGAGCCAATCCCTATTCCTGGGCCGGAGATTGGTGGTAAATCTCCATCAGACTGCACGGCGTCACATTCTAGAGGATCATTGTCAGATGTGTTGTGTCTGAATCAGCATAATATCTCATCAGTTCGTCCTTCTGTGTTGATGAGGTCAACTGACACTTGAACGTGCGAAGCATCCTAATGGATCCTAGCGTACCTACTGAGTGGCCTCAAGTCTTGTGCGCTTTCTGCTTACACCGAAATCCAGGGCGGGACCAGCCCCAACAGAGGCACATCGAGCAGCATGCACTAAATGAAGCAATGTGAAAATTAGAGCTCAAATGAGAAAAAAGAAACAAATGTCATTTCAACTCGCAGGAGAATCTGACATTTTCATTCATGTGACTGTGAAGGGGCCGACTTTCCCCTTCGGAACCCCGTTACGAACTTCTATATTCATTATTTTGTCCGCCTATGTTACCTTCCACTAAACTGATATCAATATTGTCACATATAGACCCATTGGCAAGTAACAGGCAAGTGTAAACAGGCGACAGTACAACAGCCCTTGCTGAGGAACAGCTCTGTGAACACGTTTCCCCTGCAACGAGAGAACATACAATAATGGAAGCGATTTTTTATGCGGGTCATTTGCCACTCCCACCCCGCACCCCCCGCATGAAGGCGGATTCGAATACATCCACCTTAGCCTTGCGAGTTGTAGCAGGCAACGAGAAGAGAACTCGGTTCCTGGAAGTTCGGGGTTGGAAGCAAGGCTAACGACCTTGCTCTGTAAAAAGAATATTACTACGAACTCCAAAGAAATGGAAACCGAATGGTCTATTTCAATGGACAAATCTGACAGAAGGCTCAAGGTTATGGCTCAAAAGAGGCAGTCTTGAGTGTGATGATATGCCTATACTCACCTATATAAGAGCCACATTATATCGTTGCTACGTTGGCTCACCTGTAGAAGACACATCACATCGGCTGCATATAGACTCACCTATAAAATCTACACTATTCATCCCTCATGTGTTCCCCTTTTATACATCATATAAGCAACTTGTAGAGGCTCATCTGTTTAAGCCACAACACTTATGGGTCCTATATAGACTTACCTACAACAGACACTTATTTATCGCTTCTGTGTTTGCTCTTTTACGTCATGTCACGAAATTTTCCTTTATAGGACCATGTCATTCATATGCCCTTTATTGACACACCTATTAGACACGCATTAGTCAATGATCTGACGTAAGCTGACTTGCGTAAGTCACATCACATTGGCCCCATACAGGCTTGTCTGTATAAATCACATCACTTCTCAACCCTATACAAGATGTCCCTATAGGAAAGGTCAATATACTTGGAGGTCATAGTCTCCGTCATTCTTAGCAAAAAGTGTATAGGTACAGGTGTCTTATTCCGAACGGTTTCTGAGATAGATATATTTCACTATACGGTTCCGAAATTGTTGATAAGAAAGAGATATTACGTACTGTTCCTAATACCGGCATTTATGGTTCAAGTGACAAAGTTGGTACAGTTTACCTAGTGTGATACATTTTCGAAAATTCCACAGTCAAAATCAATGCACTTTGCAGCTCGTGTGAGAACATGGCGTGTTGCTCGTCTGTACAGTGAAATAGCTCTACATCGGAAACCGTTTCATAGAAGAAATTCTGCCCTGAAGAAGGAGATATGAAATTCATCCAAATCACTGATACATATGTACCAGATTACATATCGTCAAACGCCCAGCTTTACCCCTTAGGCCCAATGTTCTCTCCGAATTCAAAATTACCTTCTGAATCTTCTAATCTTACAGGGAGCTGGTAGGAGTCTTCAGGCCCATCATAAGGCCTGCACCGGCCTGTACCTACGCAGAATAACAAAGAAGAAAGTGGGATATATACCTCGAATGGGGTTCGAACTCATGATTCTCAAGATCTCAGTATTGGAGCGCTCGACGAAATCATCGACGTGCTCATGGCACAATTAACAGCGGTTTCATTGTTGGGGGGTCTCGTGTACTCTATCTTGATGTGACAGCTCTCGGAACTGTTTGGTGCAGACATTCGTACACGTGTGTTGCGCGGGTGGCCCGAGACGCAGGCGTACAGCGGTGTTTACTATTCTCATCGCAGTGGTAATGTTAACACGAGGTCTCCAGTCCGTGCGCAGTGACCGTCAAAGACGCAGCTCCGTGTTTTACAGCGGCCAACCATCTTCATATTAGTACGACAGATTGGATCGGTCTCGATGAGTCCATAGGCAGCCAAACGCGAGCATCTGAAAGGTAAACCCCATCAGAATTAATTGGCGCATGTAATACGAATCTTACTGGAATATATACACGAGGTATTATTAAACGATATTTTGTTATCTGCGTAAGTTGATGTCGAATGAGGAAGTGGCTGTGTGATAAATTGCTCAATGTGCGAAAGGATGTGGTCGTAGCCTATTATGGAGAACAGTCCCATAATTTGTCTCCAAAGCCTGCCGTAGTCATTTCACATTAAAATTAAAGAAAACTTGTGGTATTTAAATACATAACTGAAATACTAATAGGTAAAGGTGAAAAGATAAAGTTGTCCCTATGCTTAACTAATTAAACACTATGCCATGAAGGCGTATGGGGTAACGGATGTATAGATCCATATTTTCTTGACCTCGGCACTAGTTGGAGGTGAGTCATCAGATTCATACCCTTGCCGCTTCACCCCCGTGAAAAGAGCCCCCGTACACATTTGATAGTAGGGTGGGTGGGCCCCAGAGCCGGTCTGGACGACGTGAAGAAGATAAAATTCTTGGCCCTACCGGGACTCATACTCCGACCCCTCAGTCGTCCAGCCTGTAGCCAGTCGCTATACCGACTGCGCTATCGCTAATAGAACCTAAACTGACTATTTGTCAATGAATTGTGTCATTGTGAAATGTGTTCTTTTAATTCCAAAGGGAAATCTCAACTTATGGCAGACATTAAATAATTTTTGGAATGGTAAAATTGCATCCAAGGATCAGTGGTTTATGTTTTTATAACATTGTCAGGTTAGTTGAGTAAAGGGCATTATTTTGTCTGCACATATCACTCGGATGAAGAAAATTCACGTGGCATTTCTTTGGAGAGTTAATTCGGAAATATGCCATCCGAAAAACCGATACAGTAAACTCCCGCTATTCTGGACAATTTTTTTTAGGGAGGGGACAGGAAATCGGAAATAATGCAGCAAAAGGTAGCCCTGAGGAACAAAAAATAGGAATCAAAGGGAAAATTCAACGCTGTAGGTACTGATGAAGAAAAGAAATACAAAATATCACAGCAGCAATTCCTTCCTCCGCCAGAAGCTGAAATCCAGGGTCTCCTTCATCCTGCTCAAGCCAATCTTGGATATTTTCTTGCATGAAGAAAGCAGTCTTCTGGGATTTGGCACCGTGTATATGTGGTGTTAGTGCCAAATCCCAGAAGACTGCTTTCTTCATAGTCACCGCCGTGAAAGCCTCAAATCTTACATTTTCTTGCATGGTTTCAGTCTCTCCAGCTGCCCTCAACACAGTCTGAAAGTCCTCTTGCTCTAATCCCTTTTGCTTCTAAATTCCCTGTGTCTTTTAAAGTATGTATTCAAATGTGAAGGGGGTACCCGGTACTATACTATAAGCCGGAAGGTCCCGGGTTCGATTCTCTATGTCATTGGATTTCTCAATTGACCAGCCTTTCCAGCCGCAATATGGCACTTGGGTCGACCCAGCCTCTAACAGAAATGAGTACCAGGAATGTCTCTGGAGGTAAAGGGAGGCCGGCGTGTAAGGCTGACAACCTCGCCGTCGTATATGCGCTGAATGTTTAGAAATTGTGGGAACCTCGACGTCTCACAACCCTATGGGCCTCCACGGCCTGTTGCTTTGCCTCTTTGCTGAAATGCGAACAAAATTTTTCATATTTCGATCTGGATTAACTGTAATCGGATTATTATTATTATATATATATATATACAGGCTATGTATACATGCACTGATTTGGCTTCATTTCGATAATGTGCAGTTTTCATTTCCAACACAAATAGAGCTGTGAAGCTGTTGAACAGTCAACAGCATTTAGGCCTAGTTTTAAATTACTGAAAACCTTAAAAATAAATGTGAATAAAATATTTTGCGTGGAAAATGTCCGAAATCAAATAATTAGAATAAATTTTGAACTCAAAGAATTGATTTACACTAGCAATATCTTGACTCCAAAGGAAAATATTATGGGGAGACAGAGCAGACAAATGTTCAGTAAAAGTTAACAGTTCCATCGCAAACAGACCGACAACAAGTAAGTCAACCAAGTGCACTTGATAACGACTGGCAGTCCAGATGTACAGGCAACTACAACCCAGCATGGCAGAACATGTCGTTAGGGCTTTGATACCTCAGAGTACGTAATACGGGGCATATATATTCAGAATTATAAATTTATGTTCTTTTGGTTTGGTTGTGAATATTAGTGTCTACCTCTAAAGAACAGCAATTATTCTCTTGCTTGTTTATTCTTTGCCACAGTAAGATATGTACTGAGCCGTTGCCTAGCAATGATAGTGACATGCACATGTAGACACGCAGAATGATGGCAGGGATTTATGAAATACGCCGTTAAGATGGGCCGGAGTACCACGATGTACATACCAAATTTCGTAAAGATTGGCTCAGGAATTCAAGAGTTTATACGAGGAATATACGCACAGACACCATGGGTGTCCCATGAACCTCTTTCACTTTTTCAAAATAAGGAACCTAAGCTAAAAAGCACAGGCTGAGAGCGTTCGAGAACTAAAGATGACTAGAATATTCGACTCTAAGGAGACGGAAGTGGTAAATGAATAGAGAAAATTACGCATGGTACAGATTATAATTTTCACCGATCCCCTCATTACTACGACTATGAAGTCGGTGACGAGTAAATGAACGGCACGTGTAGAACACATGAGGGGCTTGGGAAGTATTAACGAAATCTTACTCTGAACACATCAAATGAAGAGGCCACTTATATCTATCTCTGTGGCTCTACAGCCCTTGTGGACCTTGGCCGTTTTCAGTTTCTTAATCTGTACACAGTCGGTATTAGACAAAACTGCATAATGAAGAGCTTCATAACTTGTACTCTTCGTCAAATATAATTAGCATAACCAAATTAAGGAGGATGAGATGGGCAAGGAATGTGGCACGAATGGGGGAGAAGGGGAATGCATGTAGGATTTTGGTGGAAAATTCAGAAGCAAACAGACCACTAGGAAGGCCAGAACCTCGGTGGGTGGCCAACATTAAAATGAATTTTAAAGAGATAGGATGAGATGGTACGGATTGAATTGATCTGGCTCAGGATATGGACCAGGGCGGTTTACCTCCAATCAGTTCGTCTTGGCGTCAAGCCCCTCAAGGCTCACCACCAGAGACTTTTTCTTGTGCAACTGAACCCTTGCGACAACAGTTCTTATGTACTGTTGCCTTAGAGAAATGAAGTCTACAATCTTTACGTAAACGGAGACATGATCTTGAAGTTTTTTTTTTCTGTTCAGGAGGTGTCGTGGGCTTAAACCTTGCACTTCCCTTCTGGAAAACATTGGTCTTCATGTTCCTCCCAGCAATCTTAGGGGGACTCCCATTGTTTGGTGTTTGTCCCTCTGCTCGGTGCGCCAATGCTGCCAACGCCATGGGCAATGATCTCGACACATTTCAATTGGAGCCGTTTCTCTCAATCACATTTACATATATACATATAACTAAAATTTTAATAATATTTGTTCATACTCCTAATGTTCTGTGTTATGTAGTTCTTAGTTCTCATGTTCTTGTTACCACTCTCATTTTCGTTTGTTTGCTTGTTTACCTTTCTGTATTAAAGTGTTTTTCCCTCTAGTGCTTACTTCTAATTTCTTTGACTTTATAATGTGTTTGTCCATAATGTAATTACCTGTACCTACACTGTGCCGTGACTGCAATTAGCTTCGTAGCTGTTGACTCTGCACATAAATAATAAAGAATTGAATTGTATTATTATTGTCACGTGTTCGTGGTTCCGTGACTAATAATAACAGGTTCTGGATTGGATGATTGGATTTATTGGCACTTCTTTACAATTACAATCAATTATAACAGCTCGCGATCAATGACTGCCTAAGACTCGCTTCATTCCTTATTGGGCTACGAATGACTTATGCTTCCCCCTTGCATAACTTCGAGGGGAACTGAATCTCCAACATTTCCTCTGTTATTCTCCGTTTATCCGTTGCTACGAAACGTGTGTTATTTCCACAGCAACAACCTGATTTCTACAAACGGATTCGTTTCCACGGATGAACACTTTAGCGAGCTGTTGTCTAACAATGGACTATTCCGGCTTTCAGGCGTCGTGTAGTCTTATTATTTCTTGGGGTGGGGTGAGACTGAGTCCACTTGGTAGGTCGGCCGCTATTTGGTCGATTGTACCAGCCCCGGATGTTAGATGGTGATGATGAATATGGAGCAGTCGGTGGAATGAGAATTGACAAGGGAAACTGAAGTACTCGGAGGAAACCTGCCCCAATGCCACTTCGTCCACCACAAATCCCACATGACTTGACCTGGTATCGAACCCGGACCTCCACGATGGGAAACCGGCGGCTGCGTACTCGGTTTACTGTTCCAGCCATAAGACAGACAGTGCATCCTTAATAGACGTCAGCAAACTTGTATAAAATTATGTCACTTCCGATAATGTAATACATTTCATATCTTATACCTCTCTACTTATTGTGTCTATTTCTACACACTGCATCTATCACATTTTGCTGCNTACGTCACTTCCGTTAATGTAATACATTTCATATCTTATACCTCTCTGCTTATTGTGTCTATTTCTACACACTGCATCTATCACATTTTGCTGCATGTTCTTGTGTGCATTACAACCTAATTAGGAATGCTCTGCTACTGTCGTCATAACAATATTCTATCCTAGATTTCAGAGTCATGCCAATGTTTTCATGTCATTTGTACTAGGTAACATTAATCCTTACCTGAGGATGGAAACAGGTCCAGTTTCCGAAACGTTGTATTTTCTAGTTTTTAAAATACTGGACGATGGAGAAAGTCCGAAAACCCAGTAACTCTCAGACGGTAATTGTTCTGTTCTGTAAATGATTAAAAAACTTGAAGTTATCACGAAGTGTCTTAGGCAGTAAAAGCTAAGATGTGAACTAGGACCGTTCCTGAATCTCTCCGCGGATGGATACCGAAGCAGTGAGGATTACGTAGTGCAGTCCGAGAGGAATTCGATGACGT